TTTGTTATTATACTATACTATATTGATTCCAAGATATTAATGACTTTGATGATTGTTATTAAGGAGAACACCAAGAAACTACACTGTGAAACCTTTAACACAGTTGCTGTGAGTAGTCACTAAGCTCTCTTTCCAGCACGTATCTCAGTGCTCCCCATATAGAGCAACACTTGAAAAACTATTTCAGAGTTAAGGGATAAGCAGAGCTTTACTTCACGATATTGGAGAAAGCATACCTAATCATATATACCTTTTAACTCCTGCCTCCTAGAAACCTGAAAACCAAACGGATGTCTCAGAGATAACCAGTTTATGTAAATAACTTTATGACTTAAGGTTCTGGCTTCTACTTTTACTTTTAATTAAAATTAAGTAATTTTACGTTTTCTTCCTATATTAATTTATATTTTTATCATGCTACTTTTTTTAGTATTTTATCATATGTTATATTATTTAAGATATAAGTGTGATTAATATAACAGAGATCTGAAATAGCTAGTCAGAAATGTAGTTCTATCTCATACGAAAGGGCTTTGCTCCACGAGATCTAGGGACCTGGGCTCCCTCTCTCTTTTTTTTTCGTTTTTTTTTTTTTTGTTTGTTTGTTTTAATTTTTTTTTCAACGTTTATTTATTTTTGGGACAGAGAGAGACAGAGCATGAACGGGGGAGGGGCAGAGAGAGAGGGAGACACAGAATCAGAAACAGGCTCCAGGTTCTGAGCCATCAGCCCAGAGCCTGACGCGGGGCTCGAACTCACGGACCGCGAGATCGTGACCTGGCTGAAGTCGGACGCTTAACCGACTGCGCCACCCAGGCGCCCCAAGAAAATAAGCAAAAATAAACAATTTTTTCATATGTAAGCAATTGATATTTAGAAAATAAAATAATAAAACACTAATTTAAATATAAAGAAAATATAAAATATTAATATAAAATGCTGGGAACAAAAAAATATTAATTGTAAGGCATGCTTAAAAAAGTAAAAGTCTAAAATTTTACTGAAAGATGTGCAAAATATTTGAATAAGTGTTGAACCAAATTATGTTCATTATTTGTAACACTCAATATTGTAAAAAATGTTGATTCTCTACATATTGATTTTCTACGGTTATCCAATATAATTCCAATAAATGTCAAAATGGAATTTTTTCGCATGTATTGAGTTGATTCTAAAGTTTATTAGAAAAATAAATAAACAAAATAAAGAAATGTTGGGGTGTAAATGAGCAGGAGAGTGTTTGCACTTTCAGATTTTAAAGTATAGCATGAAATAAAAATAAAATAATTATGATGGTTAATAAATGCACAATGAAATAAAAAGATGTTGAAAATAGAATTATATATAAAAGCACATATCCTAAGGAATCAGGAAGACTCTTTAATAAATGGTGCTAGAGTAAGGGCTTATAATATAGAAAAAAATATAGTCTCTATATTACTTGCCAAAAAACTGTAATGGTTTAAAAAGCTGATTTTAAAAATTAAAACTATGTTTCAAATAATAAAGAAAATACAGGTAAATAGGTATATGGTTAGGAAAGAGAAAAGACTTTAAAAAACAAAATAGGGGCGCCTGGGTGGCGCAGTCGGTTAAGCGTCCGACTTCAGCCAGGTCACGATCTCGCGGTCCGTGAGTTCGAGCCCCGCGTTGGGCTCTGGGCTGATGGCTCGGAGCCTGGAGCCTGTTTCCGATTCTGTGTCTCCCTCTCTCTCTGCCCCTCCCCCGTTCATGCTCTGTCTCTCTCTGTCCCAAAAATAAATAAAAAACGTTGAAAAAAAAAATTTTAAAAACAAAATAAAAATAAAAAGATCAGCTGATTCACTTTATAAAAATTTAAAGTTTTATGTTTAAAGAACACAATAAAAACATTAAAAGGAAGCTGACAAGCTAAGGACAAAAGATTCATAAAATAGATAGCTGGAAGTGGGGAGGCTGATATTCTTGATAAATACAAAGTGCTTAGAAAAACAGAAATACCTTTAAAGAAAAATGGCCAAATGTAATTTTAAAAGAAAAAGAAACACAAATGACCATTAGGGAAGTAAAAAAATCTTGCCCCATCAATAATCAAAATCCTACACATTTAAACAAGAATGATGTACATGTACATGTTTCAGTTTGGCAAAGACAATTGTATACATAACACATATTTATTAAAACCCTTGAAAACTCATTTATAAAACAAAATACGAACTGAAAAGAGGCAAACATATCCAGGCTCATATATACTTAAAAGGGGTTCTGAACACCAAATTTCACTCTCATAATCCTCTGGGACACCAGCTGGGTGTCCTACAATTCAACTCAATTCTGACACTATTTACCTGAAGATAGCTTCAGATTCCACAGGTTAAGGGACTGCCCTCTACTCCCACTTCAGACATCAATCACAAATCCAGGTAATCACCTGTGCTTCTGGCTGACCAGCTGTAGATCAGAGATTCCAAAAGACCCCTCCTTAGATTCAATTAATTTGCTAGAGCAGTTCACAGAAGTCAGAGGAATATTTTACTTACTAGATTACTGGTTTAGTAGAAAAGGATGTAACTCAGGAACAGCTATCTATCTAACAGCTATCAATCTTCTAACAGGAAGAAATGTATGGGACAAGGTATGGGGAAAGAGCAAGGAGCTTCCATGCCCTCGCCAGGTGCACCAATCTCCCCAAATCACCACATATTCACCAACCTGAAAGCTCTCTGAACCCTGTCCTTTTGGGTTTTCAGAGGTTTCATTACATAGGCATAACTGATTAAATCATTAGCCATTGGAAAATGATTCAACCTCCAGCACGTCTCTCCTCCCCAGAGGTCAGGGGGGTTGGTTCTGAAAGTTACAATAAATACTCTAGTCAGATGGTTGGCTTCACTGTCAATTAGCCCCACCCTCAGATGTGCTCCCAAAGTCATCTCATTAACATAACTGAAGACAACTTTATGACTTTCATCACTTAGGAAAGTCCAAGAGTTTTACAAGCTCTGTTCCAGAAACAAGGACAAAGACCAAATATATATATTTCTTATTATAAATCACAATACGGCAATACTATAGAGGAAAAAATCTGATGTAGAAGCATATTTTTGACATGGGAAAATGGCAAAAAGCTAACTGAGGAGTAAAAACCAGGTTACAAAATAGCATGTCAAAAACAAATCCCTTAAATAGATACACAGCTGAAAAGACCTATAACAAAATGTTAATTGTGGTAGTCTCTGGATGACGAAATTATCAATAGTTTATTTCATTCTTTGTTTTTCAGATATTTTGCATTGAAAATATTTTCCATTTAGAATCAGGCAGAAATACTAATCCAGAGACAGAAATTGTGAGGACACCTGCAATAGTTAATTTTAAGTGTAAACTTGACTGACTGTAAGATGCCCAGATTCAACATTATCTCTGGACGTGAGGGTGTTTCCAGATGAGGTTGGCATTTGAATTAGTGGACTCATTAAAGTAGATTGCCCTCCCTCAATGTGAGGGGGTCTCATCCAATCCATTGAGTGTCTGAATAGAATAGAGGGTGGAGAAAAGAGGAATTTTGTTTTTTTTTTTCTGCCTCACTGATTGAGCTGGGACCTTGGATTGGGATGTACACCACTGGCTTCCCTGGTTTTCAGACCTTCAGACTGAGACTAAATCACACCACTAGAATACCAACTTTCCTGGGTCTGCAAGCTTGTAGACCACAGTTTGTGGGACTTCTCAGCCTCCATAATTATGTGAGCCAATTCCTAATAATAAGTCTATACCTATCTATATACAGATATATGTAAGACTATTCATATATATTTGCTCTTACATATATATATATATATGTAAGAGTATATATATATATTTACTCTTACATATATATGTAAGAGTATATACATGTATATGTACATACACATGTATATACATACACGTGTATGTAC